CCCAGCAGCCCCAATGAAATCATAAACTCAGAAAAAAAAGGGTAACATGCTTTAAATGGCTAGGCTTCTGTTAGATTAGTAGGTCAGTCTTAAATGACAGCACACACACACACACACACACACACACACACACACACACACACACACATACACACAAAAGAAACTTAATCTGGTAAGAAAAGAAAATACCATCATTGCAATTTTGAAAGTGGTTTGGCTGACAATGAAGCATGAAAGTTAAGGTAGTATGTTTTTATGCTGAGGTAACTTCCATTACCTCTGCAAGCAGCAATGCTTAGCAACAGCTCTCCACCAGTGTATGAATGGGGGAGGTACTAAAAGGAAGAGCCAAAGACCACTCTGCACATGCTCTATACATTCCCCTCTAGGAACAAACCCACAGCTGCACTTCAAAATACAGCCACTCTTGGGCAAACATGAGACGAGGTGCTAGCATCATCAGTCATAGTATCTGAATTTTCTCCATTCATATAGAGTATCGATCACATATACCAACATTGCTTTCACATTAGATTCTTTCCAATTTGGAAGAGTGAACATCATTTTCTTCAACTGTGACGTAAACCAAAGAAAGAAGAAATTAGCCCGTCCTTTTCCAAACACACAGTATGAATAGTGATGTCTTCCTGAAATTCAAACTCATTAATCACGAATTATAGAACAATCCGCCAGTACTGTTATTTTAATCTTTCAGATAGACAAGCATTCCCCACAAGTTGAAGACCAGCCTAGGCTACAGGGTGAGCTGCACATTAGTCAGAGCTATGTAGGAAGACTATGCCTCAAAAACCAAAGACTGTGGGAGAAAGAGCTTGGAAGAAGGGCTGGGTGGTGGTGGGGAGGGGTAGAGGCAGGCAGGCCTCTGTGAGTTTGAGGCCAGACTAGCCAACACAGTGAGTTCCAGAACAGGAAGAGCTATATAGAGAAACCCTGTCTCAAAAAAAAAAAAAAACAAAAAAACAAAAAAAAAAAAAAACAAAAAACAAAAAAGAGAGAGAAATAAGGAAGGATATAAGTTAACATAAATGTTCTAGAATATTTTACTACTATGGTTTATATTTTTAAAAATTACCTTTTAATGAAACAATTTCATTTCTTTATTAATCTTCCAAAGAATACTTAGATCAGACCCCCAGCATGAGCACTTTTATATTTTCTGTGGAATTATTTTAGATAGTTGGGATTGGATGTTTGGGGTTTTGTTTTCTAGCCTCCTCAGATACCACGTGTACACTTACACACATACAGGCAAAAACATTCATACATATAAAATAAAATAAAACAAGAAAGCATTAGGGGACATTACATCTTTAATGAGTATACACAAACTTTTCATTATTCCCTGAGCCATAGAGTATAACTGTTGACACCATTTTGATAGTCTTCTATGTGTTATAAGTAGTCTAGAGTGATCTAAGTTCTTCAGAAGGAATTCTATGGACCACATGCAAATAATACATCATTCTATAAAAGCACTTTAGCATCCAGGAGGTCCTGGAATCTCCATAGCTACTGAGGGATGATTGGAGATCAGCCGAGACTTGGAAAGATGTATGTGGAATACATTTTAAATGGTGAAGCAGTTTATAGAGCAGTATTGATAAAAGATCTCACACAAGTATATAATGAATGCATAAGAAATTGGAAATCTTTGCATTAGGTAACAACAATGAATCTGTGTGGGAGGATGAGCTATCAGGAGCATTCACATTATACATCTGAGCACTGAACACATACTTTGACTTTTACGTCACGGAACATTTTATCACTTTGTAATGGAACATTTTAACACTTTATAATCAAAACAAAACCAAGGTACCCCTTTTTAGATAGGGGTTGGCTCCAGTACTAGTTTTAAAATGCAATTAAATGATACTATACATATATTTTATAGACTTATAATAATGTTTTCTAAAACATATCAAATATGTTATCAGAGCAAAAACTTCAGAAATTCCCCTCCCCAGTCTTACTTCTAAGCATGCTAGAGCTACAAACAAATAGCAGGGTCTTTATGGAAGTTAAACAGAAGTTGCTGGATGCTTCCACTGGAGACTGTTTCCTTCCTCTTCTCCTTGAACATAAACTTTAGACTCCTTTACGGTTTCATATAATGCTATGAAGTTTTTTTCACTGAACAATTACTCCATGTGTGGGTGGTAATATCTAAGCTTATGTTGTTAATCACTTGTATTTGAAATTTTTTTCCTACTTCACTTAATTAGCCATTAGGGCAAGCAAAACACATTTTGTGTGTCAAGGATATAACAGATTTCGTTGAGTTTTTGAAAAGCAGGCTGGCAAGGAAATACTGTACAAAAACAAGCCAATATAAAGGCTAAAGGAAAACAATAATCAAGAAAATATTGTGGTTTTGCATGTTGATTGATTTGTTTTATAGAATTAGTTATTCTGTTTATGACAGCAAGCTTGGCCATGTCTATATTCAAACAGTAATTATGTATGTAAGTGGAGATAGTTTCACTAAAGACACCTCTGCTACCATAATATACTTTTTTTTTTGGAGAGATTCCATATAATATTTTTTATTACTGGACAAATAATTCCCAATTTAAACATGAACAAATCTGCAGGTTAATAATCTTGATCTCCATCCATCTGGCAAATAGATCATGTTGACCATGATTCAGTACAAATTCTCAGTCTTGCCATTGTGAATCTTTCCTTACAGGCCCAGCTTGGTTCTCCTCCAGTGTCTTCTCTTGGAGTTGTACCTGATTTTGTTACCGGTTTTCATCCGAATCCACTGAGGAATTGGACGATTTTGCTTTTGTTTCTTGGCCAGGAATAGCTTGATTCTGAAAGTCTTGTGAGAAGACATGGCGAGAATCTTTTAGGCGTGTGCTGCCCGATGGCAGAGGAAAGGCGAAGAGCACCATAATATACTTGTAAACAAGCCTGTTTATCAAACACATACTGAGCTGGAGACAGCCAGTTATGAAAACATTACAGACAGAACATACCTTGCTGTGGCGCCTGATTCTTTTACCGTAGGTTAAGAAGCACAACCCAGAATGGAGATTATAATGAATAGAACCCGAAAGCATCATTTATGTACTGAATTGTCTTCTCACACCCTGGTTAGGACACCAAACTGTATCCGCACTGAACCAAGGTTATAAAGGCATAACAGAATAGCCACTCAGTTTTAATCTGGCTTAACAAGAGCCCTGGAGTAGGTGCGTCAGTCAAGGCTAGCTCAAAGATGCAAGTGTTTGATACAGTGTCTAGACAGCCGCAGCCACTTCAAGCTTCACGATTTTAATAAAAAAAAATCCAAAGCCAAAGGAGGAGATAGAATATGAAGAGACCCTTCTCCCCTACTGATTCTAGTTTGTTTTCTGCCAAAGAACTGTGAAGAGTGTTTCTCAAATCTCCCAGGTGACTCTTCATGTTCCAGCAGCCAGATCTCTAAGCTAAGCTTGGCAAAAGAGAACAGCATTGCTGTGGTTGACTTAATTAATCTGTGATTCATCCCTTGAAACTGAGCAAGATACAATTTAAACAAAACTGAACTCTATTAACAAAGAGGTAGAGAAAGCAATCATTGAGCAGGCTGTCAGCAATCAGTGAGACAGAAGACAAGAGTCTTATATCAATGGATAAGGCAGACCCTCAGCCATCCTGATATTTAATCCACAAGTTCCTTCCTAAAATGCATTCCTAGTATTGGAAGTATAGCTCAATGGTAAAATACTTGCCTAATATATGTGAGGCCCTAAGTCCAATTCCCATTGTGTATATTATAAAGAAAGAAGTTAAAATGCATTCCTGGGGCTGTCAGCATGTTCCCAGAAACAGGCAGTTTCAGAAAAACAATGTCAAAAATTTGAGCCTAATTTCAGTTTTCACTCTATCAAGAAAGTGAGCCTATTCACCACCTGCCTTTAACGCTCTGTGAAATAGTGACCACAGCAGCCTGTCATCAAAGGCGTATTGATGAGTGTGTGGGTGGATGATATGTCTGGATGAAACGGCCAGAGCAGTATGTCACCCACTGTGCTCTGCTCAAGCTCTCTCCTGAACAAAAAGCAATCACTGTGCCTGGTAAAAACAAGCACCCATTTTCTCATGCAGCCATGACACATATTTGAGTTAGTGTGCCAGGAGAAGGTATGCTGGCCAGTGGCAGATTAGCCCTTTCTCTAGAACAGACAATCTCATCTAAATTTGATACACTAAGCCAAATTCCTGATACATTCCCGTGTGTGTTCTTAAAATTAAAAACAAAAACAATACAACAATAACAAAAAAAAAAAACCACAAAATAGGCTGGCTAGATGGCTCAGTGGTTAAAAGCACTGACTGCTCTTCTAGAGGACCTGGGTTCAATTCCCAGCACCCACGTGGCAGCTCACAACTGTCTGTAATTCCAGTTCCAGGGTACTTGATGCCCATGGCAAAATATCAATACACATAAAATAAAAATAAAGAAAGAAATACATATAAAATACATAAACACATGTTGCAAGTTTAAGAGTTAAATTATTCATTTAATATTGTTTATTGCATGTCAGTGACTAAGCTAAGTGCTGTACATGCACACAGAGATGTGTGTGCATATGTGCACATGTGCATGCACACAACAAACACACACACACACACACACACATCTAATGTTTTGCAAGAGTCTTGAGTCATGCCTCTATGTTGATTCTGAAGAGAAAATTAAGGCCATGTGAGCTAACCTGCAACTTACTCCCATCTGTCTGACTGAACAAGTAACATCCGCCACACTTGACTTTCCTGTATTATCAATTGTGCAAAAGAGAACAAGAAAGGCAAGAACTATGTGCCGTGTCATCACCAGAATTGTATACTTTAGAAGAGACATTATTAGGAAAAAATGAAAAGGGCAACAACATTACATTAGTTACCTTAATGCTTAACAGTCATGAATGGTGACTGGGACCTGGGACCTGGTGTCTGTTTCCGTCACCCTCACCATCTAAGCTACCATGTGTGAGCACATCTCCATCCACATTGACCAATCTGGTATCCCAGAATGGCAATGCCTGCTGGGAGCTCTACTTCTTAGAATATAGCCTCCAGCCTGATAGTCAGATGCCTCATGACAAGTCCACTGGGGGAGGAGATGACTCCTTCAACGCCTTCTTCAGAGAAACAGGCACAGGTAAGCAGGTGACCCAGACAGTGTTTGTAGACCTGGAACCCACGATTATTGATGAAGTTCACACTGGTACCTACCTCCAGCTCTTCTACCCTGAGTCGCTTATCACAGGCAAGGACGATGCTGCCAATAACTTTTCCTGTGGCCACTACACCATCAACAAGGGGATCACTGACCTTGTCTTGGACCTAAATCATAGCCTGGTCCCACAGCTGCATCTCCCCAAATAACATGCAGAGGCTGAATGTTGTGTACAACAGCTGGCAGCAGCAGTGGCCACATCTCCAAGGCAGCAGCATGCTGCTTGATGGCAGCATAGACCAAAGGGGTGAGCACAGGTCTCAGTGCTGGCGTTAATGTACCCCAGCCATCTTGGATAGATGGTGGCTAATACAGCTGTGGCTTTCATTTGACCAATGTTGTTCAGCAGATAAAAGACTCTTGGCCAGAAAAAGATAAAGATTTACAGTAAAAACAGTTTCAGATTAAGAAAAACCTCCAAAGTTCACAGTGTGTTTAAAAGTATACATAGGCTTGGGAGATAAAAAAGAAACAGGATAAACTGTTTAAAAAGGAAGGAAGGAAGGAAGGAAGGAAGGAAGGAAGGAAGGAAGGAAGGACACATAGCTGGGTGTGGTGTCACACACCTTTAATTGTAGCACTCAGGAGCCAAAGGCAAGCAGATTTCTGTGATTTCAAAGCCAGCCTGGTATACAGAGTGAATTCCAGGGCAGCCAAAGTTACACAGAAAAAGCCTGTCTCAAAAAACAAAAAATAAAAAAAAGAAAGAAAAAGAAAAAATAGAAGTAAAACAAATAGAGTAATAAAAAAAAAAAAAAAAGCCACCTAAAGATAGGAAATACACAGAGTCTGGATACTGTGTGCTATTGTGTTGTCTTTGAATTGCTAAGGAAGGAACAACAACTGCTAAAATACACTTGAGTTTCAATGCTGTTGAATTAATCCAGTTTATATATTTTTAAAATGATTTGACTTCAAAATTTAAGTCTAAGGACAGGTTACTGGGGAAAAGAATTTCTACTTTTGTTTCCCCAGGAAATAAAAAGCTGTGGATTCCTTCCAGACTAGCATGGTTTGATCAAGCCAGACCCCCTGATGCACTGTCCCAGGTGATCAAACATTCAAAATAGCTGAGACAAGGCAGCCTTGCAGACTACAGCCAGGATTTCTGGGTTTTCTTAAAATCCCCAAGACAGCGCTCCCTACCAGCAGGAAGCAGTTTGGAAAGAATGACTTCCAAATTCCCAAATATTGTCTATAAATGTCTGTTTTCATTTAAATGAGGTTAGTTATAAATGGTTAATGATCAAAACCAATCGCTTTTTAAAGGTAAAAAGGGGATTATGGTATAGAAGTGAATATTTTGTTTTGGAATGGATTTTCATTTATTGATACAAATTTAAGGTCAATTTTGTGATATGTATATTTCTCCTCTTGTTTAAATATTGTGTTTATATAGCTCATTTTAAAATGTAATGTATAATTAAGTACAAATTATAGTTATCTATAATAGTTAAATAGTTAATAAATAGTTAAAACTTTAGGTTTGTTAGGTTTTTATAGATATATAGAGATATATTTCAAATGGATAGGCATTCTTCAAACCTTTCAAAGACCTACAGAATATGGCATTTAAAATGGTTTAGGGTTTTTCTTGACAGTGAGACATAACTGCTCCTGGCAGCACCACCTGAGAAAGAAAGGAAGATGGACATTGAAGAAACTAGTTATGGAGTTTACTACCAATAGGGTAAGACCAGCCATTTGGGCAAGATACTCCCGTGTGTAGACTGTTTAACTATATGTTTTATAAAGTAGGTATACAGGACTCACAAAAAAGTGACTTCTGAAACAAGATGGACATTGCTGCAGGGTTTCTGCTTCATGGAAGAGTCTGCCAGACAGTCTGCAGGACACAGAGAAAAGTGACTGACAAACTGCCAATACAGGTGGACAGTTTAAACTTTCCTGCTTTGCTGAGGAGTCTGTCAGACACACTAAGGCTGAAGATGGAACATTACAGAAGAACTTCAGGTGACTGACCAGGCAGCGAGTTGTCTCTGTTATTTCGAGAGTTTATATATTATCCTTCTGTGGTCTTTGATGAAGTTGAAGACAGATAGTTATGGGTTATACTTTTCCTCAGTTAAGATTAATGATAAGTTACATATAGGACTTTAGACTCACAAAGATAGGATAGATGATGGAATATTTTCTTTAAATCTTGCTAAACATTAATGAATTAAATATTGTTAATAGTTCTTATTTGATTACTATTTTGTTATATATTTTACTATGTTAAAGTCAAAACCCTTCTTTTTATTTTAGACAGAAAAGAAGAGATGATGGGAGATTTCATTCTGTAAATATGTTTCTCTTATTGATTGATGAATAAAAGTCCTGTTGGCCAATAGGAAAACAAGATAGGTGGGACTAGAAGACAAGGAGGATTCTTGGAGAGGAAGTAAGGAGGAGTCAAAATGTACCACATGAGAGAAGAAGTCCAGACCTGTCTCTGGTAAGATAAGATCATGTGGAAACACTTAGATTGATAGAAATAGTTAATATTTAAGACAGGGCTAGCCAATAAGAAACGCTAGTAACCAGCCAACAGGTTCATAAATAATATGCTGTCTCTGTGTGTTATTTGGGGCTGATGTGGCTGTGGGACCAGGCTGGTGGGAAAGTGCTCATAACAGGACCCCATTTGGCTTGGATCTGTGCAGGTCCTGTGCATGCTGCCACAGTCTCAGTTCATATGTGCATCTGTCCTGTTGTGTCTGGAAGGCACTGATTCCTTGGTGTCATCCGTCCCCTCTGGCTCTTACAATCCTTCTGCCTATTCTTCAGCATCGCTTTCAGAGCTCTGTGGAGTGGGGTTTGATAAAGACATTCCATTTAGAACTAAATGTTCCAAAGTTCTCTCTCATTCTCTCTCTCTCTCTCTCTCTCTCTCTCTCTCTCTCTCTCTCTCTCTCTGTGTGTGTGTGTGTGTGTGTGTGTGTGTGTGTGTTTGTGTGTACACTGTCCAGTTGTGATCTCTGATTTTGTTCCCATATAGTGTAGGAAGAAGCTTTTCTGGTGATGGATGAGCAAGGCACCCATCTGTAGCAGAATATCATTGAAGTCATTCTTTTGACGTGTTCCCTTAGCAGAATAATAATATCAATAATATTTGGTTTTTTCCCAAAACCCATGTTCTATCTAATCTCAGATTTTGGGGGAAAGAGATGGGTAAGGGAATAGGTAGATGGTGATGATGATGGGAGACAAATGATAGACAGACAAATGGATAGATGATAGATGAATAGACAAATTGACAGATTAGATGGATAAATGATAGATGATAGATGATAGATATTAGCAAATTGTTAGCAATGGTTTAAGTTAAGATTATATCAGAATGTTCACTCTACTATTCTAATATTTTGACTATTTGAAAGTCTTCATAATCAAAGTTGGCTAAACTGAAAAGGAAAATATCCATGATTGTTGGTCCCTCTGACACATTAATTCACACCTGTACTTTTCCTTGGGATTCAACTGTGTCTGGCCCATCTAGAGGACAGGAACTCTCTGGAACCTACAAGACATCCTGAGAGGCACAGGCATCTCCTGAAAAAGACCTCATATCAGGTAAGACAGAAATAAGGTATAACATTATTGAACTCAGAAAATCAACTCAGATGTGTAAAAAGTATATTACTTTCTGTGCCTCCCCTTGCATGAGCCTTCTACATGACTAATAGTTCAGGAAATACTAAAACATGAGAGCTAAACATGACTTTCCCATTTAGTATATCTTTCAAGTAAAGGTTTATTCTCTTTAAAGTGAATATTTGCTTTGCGGGATTTTTGTTCCCACCTCCATCTCACACTATGTTTTCGCCTTCAGCAAAGAGAGTTTTAGGCCACATGCTGAGCACCAAGTGCCTGAGGATCCATCCGTGACATTTCTCATCTCTTCTCACCATTGGCATCCTTACTAAGTCTCCCAATGGGGTGGCTGAGCTACTATTGTGCCATGCTGGAGTCTGTCACTGGGAATACAGAAATGCAAGTCACTGCGCCGGACCCACTCTGATGTCCTTCTTCTTGGCCTGAGGCCTCTTCTTGGCCACTCGCTCCCTTTTCCTGTATTTGCACAAGGAAGCTTAGCCGCTGTCTGCAAACTGATCAGCAGTGTGAGATTGCCGCGGCTCCCACAGAGCACATGCTGCTCATCTGCTTCCAAGCTTATGAGTGTCTTAGGGCTGGAACAATAAGTCGTCACAAGCCAAGTGGCTGCAACCAACAGAAATGCATTCTCTCACAGTCCTGGAGGCTGGAAGTATGAAATCATCACATGATAAATTAGTTCCTTCTGAAGTCTCTGAGGAAGAATCTACTTGTGCTTTTTTCTAAGCTTTGAGTAGCTACCAACAACTCGGTATTCCTTGGCTAAGGGCTGCCTAACTCCAGTTTCTGCTCATACTTTCACATGGCCTCCTTCCCTCTCTAGGAGTCCTTTTTTATAACAACCCTTGTCCATAATCTCTTACCCTGGCAACATACCAAGAGCTTTGTCTTAATGTACCAAGAGCTTTGTCTTAATTATGTCTGCAAAGAGCCTAATTCCCAATACAGCCACATTCTGAAGTTCCACTGGACATTTCTTCAGGAGACTGGAATTCAATCCACTATCATTTTGAATTCAAAGTGACTGTCATCTTAGTATCTTCCAAGACTGTGCAGAGGAGAGATGAACAAGCTATCAATACTCTGACTCCTCTGGATCCGCTATGAGTTCCTGTGGTCTCTGTGTGTTTTTCGAGATGTAAGCCCAAGAGGGCTAGGAAATGTTATCTCCTGTCTCACTATTCATAGGAGCGAAACCAAAAATAAGATAAATCCAAGCAGGCATTTTGATAAGCACTCAATAAATAGTCGTCATCATGATAATGCTAATTGCTTTTGTACTGTGGTAATTACGTAAAATTAAACCTACTAATCAAATCATCCTACATGATACATCAAAATGACCACTCTCAAGTTATCAACAGATGTAACATTTCCAGTTCTATAGATCTACTGTTGATTCTTATACACATTACGTATGACTGAAATAAAGTTAATAAGACATAAAATTTTGGAATTTTTCATAAAAGTATCACAATGGAAATCTGCTACTGTCTTCTGAACTTGGCATCCTAGGAATTAAACATAAACA